TCTATTTTAATGTCAAATATTTAATGTATGTATATTTTAAGTACAAGACATAGACTTACAATTGTGAGGAAAAAATCAGAACCGTGAGATACAAATTCTAAATTACCTTTAAAAAAAAAAAAAACAGAATTGTGAGATGTAAACTCAAAAAAGAAAAAAAGCAATTATCTTTTTATTTTTTATTCCATGACAGAAATGGGCTTCTATATATATAACAGTACAGTACTATAATTAGAAAAAAAGACCTTCAGAAGCTTCCTTTCTGCTGTAGTTCACATGCTCAGTATAATGCATGTCGTGTCAAGGTGGACGTCAATGACACCTTCGTAGGTTTTCGCATGCCTTATGACTTCAATTTCAGTGTGTTCCTCGCACAAAGCTATCATATGACTTCAGATGACTTGGAGTAAAGCCCATCAGTCATATGGACTACCTTTATGGGGGTTTTGTCCTTGACAACCATTGAGAAGGAAATGGCTATGAGAAGGAGCTATTAGAATGAAATAAAAAATAACAGCATGCAGGTTTGAGTAAATAATGACTGAACTGTTATTTTTGGGTGAACTATCCCTTTAAGTTACTCTCCAAACCGAAGTAAGACGGACAGGCAGGACGATATGCCTCTGCTGGGATATCGGCCATGTGCCGGTCAGTAGTCTGGTCAAAAATAGCAATGGTGGGCGGCAGGGTCACTGCGGCTGCTGTTCTGAAGAGAGCAGCAGATGTGCTTTATGTAACAGAGCAGACGAGATGCTGCTCCTCTCGCCATTCAGAGACCCCAAATATGGCGTAAGGTCCAGAGGTCATTAAACCCACCCTACTGCTGAATCTACTGTTACAGTCAGCCATTCACTCTCTTACCCAATGAGACGCGTCAGGGACAGGCCTCCGCAGCCACGGACGGTGGCCTGCAAAATAATGCATTCAAAACAAACAGTGTGAATGCACATTACACAATCACATCCGATTTCTCTGCATTTATGTCATGCATATTAAACAGTCGCATCAGATTTGAACATTTGCATTTAAAATCAACATGAAAAGTCAACACATCGACACATTTAACTTCCATAATTGGTCAAATTTGGTCAAAAAGTGTAAAAAAAAAAAAATGTAATTCATAAATAAATTAAAAAACAAGACTAAAGTAAATAAAAATGATATAGGCTACAGATAAATAAGTAAATAAATAAAAATATGATTAAAATAAATAATACAGTTAAACAAACAAACAAATAAATAAATACAGATAATTAAAGAAAATTAGTATATAAATAAAAATTTTATTAAAATACATAAGTAAAAAATGCAAATAAATTACCAATAAATAAATAATACAAATAAGATTAAATAATACAAATTTGATTAAATAAGAAAATATGTAGATAAATAAAACTTAAATTAAAAATTAATAAGAAAAAATATATATCTCTAAATAAATACATAAATACAGTACTATAATTATGGAAGCCAATTTCTGCCATGAAATAAAAATATATAAAAAAAGATACTTTTTACCTCATAATTCAGACTTTTTTCTTACAATTCTGAAAAAAAAATTCTATACAAAAATATATATCTCAGAATTGAGAGATATAAAGTCAAAATTGCGAGATATAAACTCTGATTTGCTGCTCAAGAAATATTTCTGATTATTATCAATGTTGAAAACATCTGAGCTGATCACATTATTAAATAAAATATTATAAAATTATACTAAATATTATGATATCATTTTAAATAATATTATAATTTTTTTTCTCATGATTCTTTGATGAATAGAAATTTAAAAAGAACAGCATTTATTACAAATAGATTTTTTTAAATTATAAGTGTCTTTACCATTTAAAAAAAAAAATCTATTTAATGCATCCTTGATGAATAGAAGCATTATTTTTTTCTTAGTCTTACATTTTTCAGCAGTGTATTGTATATACTATTCTATGACCAGTGAAATAAAGTTTTAGTATGCAGTATGCAAATTGAGATGTAGCCTGTGCCTCCAGACAGAAAGTCCAGTGAAGCTGTATGTCACATACATCAAACACTGTGGAGCTTCACTGTATATATGGATGTAAAGAGTTTCACCTCTCTGATGTCTTGGCCAGTTGTTCAAGCCTGTGAGGACACAATCAAAGGTACATATTAGTGCACACCAAACAGCTGACAAAACCAACTGAGACTGTGCAATAACTGTGCATACATACATATATATATACATACTGTATATACATATATATATATATATAACCATCCCTCAATGCATTACACATTTAGCAACAAATGTTATGGTTTTTAATTTTAATCAATGCAAATGTATAAGTGTTTAATTTAAATAATCTTTTAAAATGAGTGAGTATATATTTTTCTTTTGAGGTTGATATATTCAGATATTTTCTTTCAGCAGTCCTCTCATGCTTTCATTGTATCAGTGGCTTTTCTTTTTGCTGTGTAAATCTTTATATTTTCTC